CCCCAAAACCCCAAAACCCCAAAACCCCAAAACCCCAGCAGGTCCTGGTGTAGTTGATCCTGATAATTAATAATCATAATCTCACTTTTGATAATATTTCAGAAAATTAAATCACCATTATGTGCAAGGTGTTAGTGTGCAATCTCAAGCTCATTATTTATCTATTATAGAAATCCTCCAAAGTAATCCAAGCCCTTCAAAAGGGATCAAGTAATTTAGGAATTAATTAGAAGGACCCTACTGTGAAGCTTATAGCTTTCCAGAAGACCTCCTAGAGAAAGTAGGATCCGGATTGTAATAGTTTTGTTAAGGCTGATGAGTAAACTTACTATTTTGAATTCCTGATTCATTCAAGATTCAGAGCTCAAATGATCTTATTTTTACCCCAGAGCTATACAGGAGCAAGAAAAGCATTCATAAGGGCTAAGCAGATAAAACAGAAATCTACAAGCTCTGCTTTCGGTGAAGATTGAACTTGAATAATTTTAGACTTCTTAAAATTTGAGTAATGCTTCTCCAAAGCCTGATATCTCTACAAATGGAAGATGTTGTAAAACTTCAGTATTGAATTTGCCTATGAATATGGGCTTTGGAACTCAGAATAAATTTAGGACAAGGCTTAGAGTCATTAACCGCACCTTAATTTATTTGGGGAAAAGATGAAGATATAAAAATTTGTCTAGATTTCTCGAAAAATAAAGTTTTACCAAAAACTCAAAGAACCCCAGAAATACTCTCATGCTTGATAAATCTTGATATATCAATCAGGGAACTAGTTTATCTATGATTTTAGAGCTTAAAGCCAAGAGCTTTGTTCTAACTAAAAATTTGGCGAAGTTGTCATAGATTTTTGTTAGAGGAATATATTTGGAATTCTCTTGTTCTTTACACCAACTATCCGAATTAATTTCCTTGAGTAGGGCTGATAAAGCTCCAGTGATGCAATATTTGGTCTTTAATGACTCTAAAATGAGAAGAAAGATATCGAATTCTACATAGAAATAGAACTCGCATGACAATTATGCTATATGCTATTCAAAGTCTATAACTCAGGGTCTTAACCAGAGTTGTCAATATGATGTTTTCAGCAAAGAGAGCTAACACCTCTAAAAGAAATGTTTGGATTTCTGAATAGATTTGACCCGCTAAGCTAAATTTAATAAGCAAAACATTCATTTTTGATAATAAAGGGGATTAATATTTAAGTATCAATAGTTAATGGCACCTGTGGGGTTTTGGGGTTTTGGGGTTTTGGGGTTTTGGGGTTTTGGGGTTTTGGGG